ACACACACACACACACACACACACACACACACACCTTCTTAGGTGGGGGTATATGCAGTTTCGTTCGTAGCTACTGATTTCAAAGTTAAAATCAAGTCCCACAATAGGAGACCCCTATTTTTTTATATTACAAGTAAAGCGATCCATGCCCCTGTGATCAGATTGTCGCGGACCCAGTACAATATTACGACAGGTAGATCAATGTCTAACCTCCCGATATATATACAGTATAATACCATGGTGTTACAGCGAGTTTAAATCATACAAAAGTCTATCAAACGGTAAATATTAAACATAAATACCTGCTTCGTCGCAATAGGAACCTTTCACTCGAGGAAAAATAAACATATGGGACCCGGATACAATGTTTATCCGTCGCTGTGATAATAGTGTACGTCATGTTTTTCAGAAAACGAAACTTCAAACTGTCTCACTTCCGAGTACAATAATGATATCGATAGTAGCGCTAGTATGACGCTAGCGTACGCCGAGCACCCATTGAGGTAATTCAGTTAATTTTCATGCCATTTTACTGTCATTCTATTTGTAATTCTTGTGAAATATGGTGTCTATATCGAACTACTCTGGCATTACACCCTGCCAATACCCTCACCATTGCACCCTGTCAATGCCCTCACCATTACACCCTGTAACAACAGAGTCAATGCCCTCGCCATAAGTAGCAGACCTATAACCATTTTTCGCTGGGGTTTTGAATTCTTGCTTTGAAAGTAATTCACGAATATAAGGAAATATAAAGCACGTTACAGTAATACAGTAGTGAGCTAAATTTAAAGTGATATGACAAAACTTGTCAGAGACTATCCTCAACGATAACAATATGCAAGTTAATACTTCTATATGTTATATCAACCATAGATAATACTGCGAGATAGCATTAAAATTCACACTCACATGACCGATTACCATTAACCTTTTTAAACACGCTAGCAATGCCCTCGCCATTAAATTTAGTAACCTAGCAGTATATGCCCTCAGCATTAACCTTTGTAATCACGCTGTCAATACCCTCGCCATTAAATTTAGTAACCTAGCAGTATATGCCCTCACCATTAACCTTTGTAATCACGCTGTCAATGCCCTCGCCATTAAATTTACTAACCGAACATTCTATGCCCTCGCCATCCAACTTTGTAACCTAGCAGTCAACGCCCTCATCGTTTAACTTTGTAATCACGCAGTCTATGCCCTCATCATTAACCATTGTAATCACGCTGTCAATGCCCTCGCCATTACATTAAGTAACCTAACAGTGTATGCCCTCACCATTAACCTTTGTAATCACGCTGTCAATGCCGTCGCCATTAAATTTAGTAACCTAACAGTATATGCCCTCGCCATTCAACTTTGAAACCTAACAGTCAATGCCCTCATCGTTTAACTTTGTAACCGTGAAGGCAAAGCCTATATGGTAAGCAAACACTGATCAGACAAATGATATGATCAATGCATCCATGATTACCACTTTCACATCAACACGAGAACGGGCCAATATAAAACACTGCGAGTAGAAAGCTGAAGTTCCACAATACACTATCAGATTGTCGCGGGCCCAGTACAATATTACGACAGGTAGATCAATGTCTCACCTCCCGATATATATACAGTATAATACCATGGTGATACGGCGAGTTAAAATCATACAAATGTCTGTCAAACGGAACATATAAAACATAAATACCTGCTTCGTCGCAATAGGAACCTTTCACTCGAGGAAAACTAAACATATGGGACCCGGATACAATGTTTATCCGTCGCTGTGACAATAGTGTACGTCATGTTTTTCAGAAAACGAAACTAAAAACTGTCTCACTTCCGAGTACAATAATGATATCGATAGTAGCGCTAGTATTACGCTAGCGTACGCCGAGCACCCATTGAGGTAATTCAGTTAATTTTCGTGCCATTTTACTGTCATTCTATTTGTAATTCTTGTGAAATATGGTGTCCATATCGAACTACTCTGGCACATCAATTAGAAGTAGTTCAGAAAAAATTCGTAAATTTTATCCTTTAAAGCAAAGATTGACTGTGATGTTTTATGAAGAAATATGTGATTATTTTAATTTACCACCTCTTTTAAAACGTAGAATGTATTTAGAACATTTGTTCCTTTTAAAGTGTGTAAACAGTATATTCGATTGTCCATATCTTATTGAAAAAAATAATCCAATGGTTCCAAACAGATATTTTTAGGTCCAGTTGTGCGGTGCGTTTTTACCCCACCAAGAGTCGTATTGACGTAAGAAAACACAGTGTTTTAATTAGGTGTCAGAAAAGTTTTAGCTTCCTTAAAGGGGCATCACGCGTCTGAAGTATCTTGTTTTGTGTCTTTTTATCAAATACTACATAAACATATCAAGTGAGACTCCTTATGGAAAATTACGATCGGATTTGGCTGAAATAGATTCATAAAAATGATTAAATCTAAGATAATCATCGGTATTTCTACCTGTCTGATCTGACCAACGTTTTGTTCAGGGATTTCCCACTACTAGCGCATCCGCATAGCACACCATTTATTTGTAAACAAAATGACTGGCCGTGTGAAGTAAGCGATAGAAAAGTGTTGTCCCTTTAATGTTCAGACAGATAGTCTCTTTAGCGAATTACTCAAAACGTTTTAAACAGAAATTGAAACAGATTTGTTTTTAATTCATTACGCATAGTCTTTGTATTTTATGTATCATGTATGTAATGTTTGATCATTTTACATTTGGTCTGTGACATTGTATGTAATTTAATTTATTGTGAACTGTTATGTGTTATCAACCTGCAAGTGGGCCTTATGGCCTGTTGGTGAGGCTTAGGCTAAGTATTTCAGAATACCAAATTATCAAATTCACCTGATAATCACAACTTTCTCAGTCTTGTTTATTTTGGCAAGGTAAATAAACCAGTTTCATTTAGGTTTTTATTCTTCATGTTCTCATATATTTTCATAACACCGATATACATGTTGTCAAGTAGAATTATAAGTATTAACTGTATTTAATGAGAATGATGTACTAAATGAGAGGGGTCATTTGGGAAAATTGCTTGCTGAGATGAGGGTGTGCTGAAAACGAAGATGTAACTGCTTTTTAAAATGTGGCAGCTTACAAGTTAAATGTTTTCTTACAAAACCTGAGTATGTAATTGACAATAATAAGGAATTACCTTTTGATTATGAATAAATAAACAGACATTGTTGTATTGTTCAGAAACAATTTTACAAAAAACTTTCACTTGATTGTAATATTGATGAATTAAACTGGCTCAGAAGAAGCTATAATTTCCTTAAAGGCATATACAGACTATGAAATTGACCTGCTAAGACTAACAAGTTGATTATACATAAATATTTATCTTTATTTAAATTTCTTTTGAAATATTAACACAAGTGATTTATATATAATTTACAATTTGATTGAAAATTAGTCACAATTTACTTTTGAACACATTCAAATTATTTGCATTCATTAACAAAATATTATAGNATGCCCTCGCCATTACATTAAGTAACCTAACAGTGTATGCCCTCACCATTAACCTTTGTAATCACGCTGTCAATGCCGTCGCCATTAAATTTAGTAACCTAACAGTATATGCCCTCGCCATTCAACTTTGAAACCTAACAGTCAATGCCCTCATCGTTTAACTTTGTAACCGTGAAGGCAAAGCCTATATGGTAAGCAAACACTGATCAGACAAATGATATGATCAATGCATCCATGATTACCACTTTCACATCAACACGAGAACGGGCCAATATAAAACACTGCGAGTAGAAAGCTGAAGTTCCACAATACACTATCAGATTGTCGCGGGCCCAGTACAATATTACGACAGGTAGATCAATGTCTCACCTCCCGATATATATACAGTATAATACCATGGTGATACGGCGAGTTAAAATCATACAAATGTCTGTCAAACGGAACATATAAAACATAAATACCTGCTTCGTCGCAATAGGAACCTTTCACTCGAGGAAAACTAAACATATGGGACCCGGATACAATGTTTATCCGTCGCTGTGACAATAGTGTACGTCATGTTTTTCAGAAAACGAAACTAAAAACTGTCTCACTTCCGAGTACAATAATGATATCGATAGTAGCGCTAGTATTACGCTAGCGTACGCCGAGCACCCATTGAGGTAATTCAGTTAATTTTCGTGCCATTTTACTGTCATTCTATTTGTAATTCTTGTGAAATATGGTGTCCATATCGAACTACTCTGGCACATCAATTAGAAGTAGTTCAGAAAAAATTCGTAAATTTTATCCTTTAAAGCAAAGATTGACTGTGATGTTTTATGAAGAAATATGTGATTATTTTAATTTACCACCTCTTTTAAAACGTAGAATGTATTTAGAACATTTGTTCCTTTTAAAGTGTGTAAACAGTATATTCGATTGTCCATATCTTATTGAAAAAAATAATCCAATGGTTCCAAACAGATATTTTTAGGTCCAGTTGTGCGGTGCGTTTTTACCCCACCAAGAGTCGTATTGACGTAAGAAAACACAGTGTTTTAATTAGGTGTCAGAAAAGTTTTAGCTTCCTTAAAGGGGCATCACGCGTCTGAAGTATCTTGTTTTGTGTCTTTTTATCAAATACTACATAAACATATCAAGTGAGACTCCTTATGGAAAATTACGATCGGATTTGGCTGAAATAGATTCATAAAAATGATTAAATCTAAGATAATCATCGGTATTTCTACCTGTCTGATCTGACCAACGTTTTGTTCAGGGATTTCCCACTACTAGCGCATCCGCATAGCACACCATTTATTTGTAAACAAAATGACTGGCCGTGTGAAGTAAGCGATAGAAAAGTGTTGTCCCTTTAATGTTCAGACAGATAGTCTCTTTAGCGAATTACTCAAAACGTTTTAAACAGAAATTGAAACAGATTTGTTTTTAATTCATTACGCATAGTCTTTGTATTTTATGTATCATGTATGTAATGTTTGATCATTTTACATTTGGTCTGTGACATTGTATGTAATTTAATTTATTGTGAACTGTTATGTGTTATCAACCTGCAAGTGGGCCTTATGGCCTGTTGGTGAGGCTTAGGCTAAGTATTTCAGAATACCAAATTATCAAATTCACCTGATAATCACAACTTTCTCAGTCTTGTTTATTTTGGCAAGGTAAATAAACCAGTTTCATTTAGGTTTTTATTCTTCATGTTCTCATATATTTTCATAACACCGATATACATGTTGTCAAGTAGAATTATAAGTATTAACTGTATTTAATGAGAATGATGTACTAAATGAGAGGGGTCATTTGGGAAAATTGCTTGCTGAGATGAGGGTGTGCTGAAAACG